ACTCAAAAAAAAAAGAGGGAAAGAGTTAAACTGGAAAGCCCAGAGTTTGGATTAGAAAACCTGTTGAGTCAAATGGGGAAACTTAACAGAGGAATGGAATGGAAATCATTTCCTTAGACAGCCGACAAGTATTCAGGAAACACCTCTGCACCCCAAAGATAGGCCCAGCTGCCACACAGTGACTATTAAAGGGAGGTTCAAAGTTATAAGCAAACAGCTGATTCTCTTGGTTCTTGGGCTGTTGCTGTTGGTGACAGGAAATCTTGTTCCTCAAGCTGCTGGCTTCCTGTTTTATTTTTACTTGTAGCAGATCAGAATGTCCATAACAAGGAGCAGTCTGTTCCAGAGGGTTCTACTCCCCCTTTGAGCCTGAAGCGTTTTTTTTTTTTCTCTTTTGGTCAGACAGTATGTTGTTTTCCTTTTAAGACCTATTATGTTTAGTTTGGGTTAAGCATTTTGTATTCACAATCAACTTTTTTTGGTGATGAGCTGGTGTTATAAGATTGGATGTAAGTAAACTCTGTTTTGCTTTTTTTTTTCTTTAGAGGAATTTATAATATTGGAGACTTAGATATGTTACCTTTATGCTTTACCTTTTCATTTGAAGCGAATTTGCCATTTTTCCTAGCGTGAAAGCCGTTAGGCTGGTTTAGATTTCTTTAGCTTTACAAGAGATGGAAACAGGATCAGCCCAGTGTGCCTTGACTGTAGTCTTATCCATTTTGTGGAGATTAAAACCTCCTCCTATCCTTGTAAAGCTAGGAATTTGGTAATCTAATTCTAAAACAATAGCTCAGCATGAACCTGAAGTGCTGGGGGATTTCCTAGGGAAAGGGGCTCAGCTGACCAGATAAGAAACAGTAACTGGGACGTTTCCGGATCAGCTTCATACACTTCCTGCTGTCTCTAGAGCCTTTTGGCCCAGGTGTGTTGAACCGGATGGGCAAGAGAAAGGGAACTGTTGGGTAGAAGAGAAAGCACCAGGGAATCTTATAGCACAGTTTACTCAGTGTCATGCTTAACATTTTGAACATGTCAAGTTTTTACTTTATATTCTTTTGTTCTGTCAATTTATAGACTAAACTTAATAGATACTAGCATTAGTGTTTAGTTCTATATTAACAGTCATCTACCAAGAAAGAACTTGAAAAGTTATATTCTGTTGTATACCAATAGAATCAATATTGGCAACTTGATTTCATTGTGGAGTTTATCAAATGACAGAAACTCTTTTATGAAGCCCAGAATCTGATCTCTCCTGGTTATGGACACCCCAAGGGTAGGATCTCTACCATCCAGTGCTTGCTGAATGGACTGTTTTCTAATCATGTCTTCTTGCGTCTGGGGTGTCTTGTTGGTTGGAGCAGTAGTTGTCACTTTAAGGTTTTTAATACTGCCTGTGTACCTGAGCCAGCAATCACCAGTCCAGAATTTCTAAACTTATATGGCAAGTCTTCTAATAGAAAAACCTTAAAAAGGGCGGGAAGGGGCTTAAAAATGGGCGGGGGAAGGGAAGGGGGAGTGAAGTGTTTTTTTTTTTTTAGATTAGAAAATATAGTTTAAGCCGGGCTCGGTGGCTCAGCCTGTAATCCCGTGCCTTTGGGAGGCTGAGGTGAGTGGATGGCCTGAGCCCACGGGTTCGAGACCCGCCTGGGCAGGCGAGAACTCATCTCTACAATAAATCAAAAAAGTAGCCAGGCGTGGTAGCGCGCGCCTGTAATTCCGGCTACTCGGAAGGCTGAGGCAGAAGGATCGCCGGAGCCCGGCAGGTTGAGGCTGCGGTGGCCGGGAGCGGCCACTGCACTCCAGTCTGGGCGACAGAGTGAGACCCCAACTCAAAATAAATAAATAAAAATAAAAATTTAACCCAAAATATCAAAAATATTATTAAAAAAAAGAAAATATAGTTTATTTAGAAAGTAAATTTGAGAGAGAGAGAGAAAGAGAAGATTCACCTCCCCAAGGTAGGAGAGGGGGTCAAAACTTAAGAAAATATAGCCTAGTCATAGCTCAAAGAGCACATGGCCACACCATAGCTCAGCAAGGCAATGGCCGAAGATTTTTAAAAAGCTGTTTTAGATCAGCGCGAGGAAAAAAAAATTCACACAACCCTAGTGTGCCTGGAATTTGTGGTTGAGTAATACTTTCCTGTTATTTCTTTTTTAGGTTGTTTTTCATCATTCAGAACATTGCCTGAAGCAGGTCCACCATGCCGTTAGTAACGAGGAGCATCGAGCCAAGGCACCTGTGCCGTCAGACGTTGCCTAGCGTTAAAAGCGAGCTGGAATGCAAGACCAACATCACCCTGGCAAATGTCATCCGACAGCTGGGCAGCCTGAGTGAGTGCCTCGGAGAGCCTGTGCTTTGCCCTCAGGGGTCGTTGGTGTTCTTTATTTAGTTTCCTTCTCCTCCTGCGTTTCTATTTTCCCCCATCTGCCTTCCCTAGGTGATGTGAACATGTATCCCACCCCTCCTTCCCCAAAGAGAGGCTCCTTTTTGGTATGGATTCTCCCCCTAAACCTTCTTTATCTACCACTACCCTCTAGGTTCCCTCCCCCTGCTTCGACAGAAATCTGTGGGAAGGGTGGCAGGAAGGACTGCAGCAAAAACTGCAGACGGAATGACAGAGCAGAATTCTCTGTGTGTAAAGTGGGAGGTTCACAGAGCAGTATCTTGGGTCGGGGAATGTGCCTGTAATTAAACGAGCTGTTCGATGTAGCTTGACTTTGTAGAAGCTTCAAATGTGCCAATAGTTTTTATCTATCCAACACCCCCACCCTTTCTCTTCCCAAAGAGGAGCAAGGCAAACATGCACTCAGAGAGATTCTGGCTGACTTGTCCATTCTGGTACACATTTAATTGTGCTGCAAACCCCCAGGTCCAAGTTCAGGATACAGATTACTTCTGCAGTCTCTGGGGTATTGGGAGTTTTGCAAGCTGCATGAACACACAGTGACACAAATAGTAGCTGGAGCTATTTTTTTGAGGAGAAAGATGGGGGTTAGCCCAGTCTGTTTTGGAGCTAAGGGAAGGCTAGCTCAACTATATATATTTTTTTAATTGGCAAGAATGAATGAGACTGCCTTGGGTGGGGTACATGCATGTGGTTTGGATTTCATTCTGAATCAAGTTGACTTTGTTTGCTTGAAGCTGAGGTATGGGAAGGGCAGATGCTTGGATTGGCTCGGCATTTGTCTAGTGCTACTCCAGCTCCCATAAGAACCTCCATCAAAATGCCATTTTAGTGATCTTTCTTAGCAAAGGCATCTTGGTGTGAATTATTTCAGACACTCACCCCTCCTGTCGCATCACTGCCCATAGTGAAGGGAGTGGAATATCAAGAAAGCCTGCATTCCCCCAGATGGTAATAGGCCCAGCCTTTAAAATAGGAGCCTGAGGAGACAGAGCTCTGTGACCAGATGATGTATGGAGCCTGAGATTCCTAAGCCTTTACCTAGCTCAGGGACCATCTCAGTTGATCCAGGGCTTAGGGAAAACTGGATGGGACATCACAAAGAAATGAAACCCTGCCAGTGCCTGTCTTATACAAAGGAACACTGACAGAAACGCAATAACAGTGCAGCTGACAAGGAAGTACACGAAGGCTGCAGAGAGCCTCACTGCTTCTTAAAAGCATCATTTCTGCTTCTTTCTCCCTGTGAAGGCCAAATGGGTGGAAGTCAATCACACACTTGTTCCTTCTGGATAGGCAAAGAACATCCAGCTAATGATGCCTCTTATTCTCACTCAGCAGAAGTTATGCTCTCTCTCAGGTATTTTTCCAGGGTGGTGTTGATGGATGCCATTGTTCCCTCTCCCTCTTGTGATCAGACTGCTCCTATCTTGAGGAAGCTGATCTGAGGGCCAGGGTCACTTTGTGCCCAAGGAAACAAGATTTCCTCACATTATGGGGCTAACTGACCCTTTATTCACCCAGTAAACATGTGTTTGAACATATTTTATGTGTCAGATGCTGAGGAGCTACAGAGATAATAAGAAAGGTTTTTCGCCTTCCAGAAGCCCATAATCTACCAGGAGAAACAGAAATACATAATTCTTTTTTTTTTTTTGAGTTGGAGTGTCACTGTCACCCAGGCTGGAGTGCAGTGGCACGCTCATGGTCACTGCAGCCTCGACCTGCTGGGCTCAGGCAATCCTTCTGCCTCAGCCTTCCAAATAGCTGGAACTACAGGTGCACGCCACCATGCCTGGCTAATTTTTTGATTTATTATAGAGATGAGTTCTCGCCCAGGCTGGTCTCAAACCCTTGGGCTCAGGCAGACCTCTTGCTTCTACCTCTCAAAGTGCTAGGATTACAGGTGTGAGTCACCATGCCTGGCCTAGAAATAAATAATTCTTAAGAGGAGAATGGGGAACGACTGAGAAGGGAACTCACAGTTGTTGATTGCATACTTAATGCCAGGTTTTGAAATATTATCTCATTTAGTTGTCTCAATAATCCTATAAGGGTAGCTGATGGTATTCTCGTTTTTCACATGAAGAAATGAAGACTCAGAAAAGTAAGGTAACTTGCCTAAAAAAATACAGCCAATAAGAAGCAAAGTCATTATTTAAATTAGACTTTCTAAGAATTTCTCAGTTCTCTCCCCTCCAGTAGTGCCCTTGTTCAGACCTTCATTGGCTTTTTTTTTAAGTCGGGGTCTTACTCTGTCACTTAGGGATCACAGCTCACTGCAGCCTCGACCTGGGCTCAGGTGATTCTTCCACCTCAGCCTCCTGAGTAGCTGGGACTACTGGCACGCACCACCATGCTTGGCTAATTTTTTTATTTTTCATAGAAATGAGGTCTTGTTATGTTATGTTGGCTGGTCTCGAACAATTCTCTATCCTCAGCTTCCCAAAGTGCTGGAATTCCACAACACCCAGCCAGACTTTCATTGACTTTCACCTAAACTATTGCTCAGGTCTCCCTTTTTTCTCTGATTCATCCCCATCGGTTTATTTATTTATTTATTTATTTATTTTGTTGTTGTTGTTTGAGTTGGAGTCTCAGATACCCAGTGGCATGATCACTGCTCATCACAGGCTCAACCTCCTGAGTGATCCTTCTGCCCCAGCCTCCTGAGTAGCTGGAACTACAGGCATGTGCCACCACACCTACTAATTTTTAAAGTTTTTTGTAGACGCAAGGTCTTGCTATGTTGCCTAGACTGGTTACTAACTCCTGGGCTCCAGCCTCCCAAAGTACTGGAATTACAGATAGGAGCCACTGTGCCTGGCCTACTTTGATAATTCTGAATTTTTGAGTTTTTGAGAGCTGTCTGTATTTACTTTTATAATTTGAGAAGTTTTTTTTTTTTTTTTGAGTTGGAGTCTCACTCTGTCACCCAGACTGGAGTGCAGTGGCCAGTCCCAGCCACCGCAACCTCAACCTGCTGGGCTCCGGCGATCCTTCCGCCTCAGCCTTCCAAGTAGCTGGAACTACAGGCACACACTTCCACGCCCGGCTCATTTTGATTTATTGTAGAGATGAGGTCTCATCAAGTTGCCCAGGTGGGTCTCAAACCCGCAGGCTCAGGCAATCCACTCACCTTAGCCTCCCAAAGGTGCGGGATTATAGGCTGAGCCACCAAGCCCGGCTTGAGAAGTATTTTTACAGTATAAGTCTTAACTATTTATCTAGCCAGGCATGGTGGCTCATGCCTGTAATCCCAGCACTTTGGGGAGCAGAAGCGAGAGGATTGCCTGAACCCAGGGGTTTGAGACCAGCCTGGGCAACTTGGTAAGACCCTTCTCTACAATAAATTTAGAAAAAATTAGCTGGGCATGGTAGTGCATGCCTATAGTACCAACTACTTGGAAGGCTGAAGCAGAAGGATCTCCTGAGCTCAGCAGCTCAAGGCTGCGGTGGCAGTGAGCATGCCACTGCACTCCAGCTTGGGCCACAGAGTGAGACTCCAACTCAAAAAAAACCCCAAAACTATTTATCTCCCCTATTCCTTGCTATGGAATAATCTAAGTTCTTTGGCCTAGCATTCAAGACTCTCCAAGACTCATTTTCTGCAATCTGCCTTCTCCCTTTTTACAATCTTTTAAAAAGTTTATTTTAAAGTAGAGGGGAAAAAATCACCTACTAGTAGTTCTACTGAGACACAGACCATGCTTTTTCATGGTCTTTCATGCAGTACTTTTTCTGTCCCCTCTAACTGGACAGTCCTTGCCTTTCTTGTCTACTTGCCCACCTGTAGCTGATCCTTCAGGGGCCCAGCTCAGAGATTTCCTCCTTCAGATTAGACTAAGTTCTTCTCTGAGCTTCTACTACATACCTAATTATCCAGTCAGATTATATTACAAATTACTTCTGTCTAACTTAACTTAAAAATTATTTAAGGCCGGGCTCGGTGGCTCAGTTTGTAATCCCAGCACTTTGGGAGGCCGAGGCGAGTGGATTGCCTGAGCCCACGGATTCAAGACCCACCAGGGCAACTTGGTGAGACCTCGTCTCCACAATAAATAAAAAATTAGCTGGGCATGGTAGTGCGCACCTGTAGTTCTGGCTACTTGGAAGGCTGAGGCAGAAGGATCGCCAGAGCCCAGCAGGTCAAGGCTGTGGTGGCCAGGAGCGGCCACTGCACTCCAGTCTGGGCGACGGAGTGAGACTCCAACTCAAAAAAAAAAAAAAAAAAAATTTGAAAACAGAAATCATGTGTTGTTTGTTGTTGAACCCCAGTGTCTACCTTGTATAGTACCAGTCACCCAGTAGAAGCTCAGTAAATGTTTGTCATGTAACTAATGTATGTTCTCCACTATTCCATGCTATTGGTGCACAAAGAATATAGGAGATGAAAGAATACTTTCTGGGGGAGTGGGGACCCAGATAGGGTAGGAAGGGTCAAAGAAGGCTTCATAGAAGAGATTACCTTTGAACAGGCCCTTGAAAGATGACTAGAATTTCATCTATCCAAGAGGGGTGCAGGGAAGGGCTTATGTGCTTCAGACTTATGACCTTGGCCACAGGTGCATTGTACTCTAGGTGGAACTGCTCGGTTGTAGTGAGAGTCTGATTATGGAGTAGATAAAGGTTAAAACTAAAAGTTCTACAGCCATGGATTGCTCCGTGACAGCACATCCGGAATTCTTATATTCCCACAGTACAGTGAGATTGGCATTTTGCGTTAGGTTGCCATATCTTAGGAAGTATAGGCACAGCAGCCAGCTAGCACTTTTGGTCAGTACTTTGGCCACCCAGCAGAATGGAACCCCCACTTGGGTCATTAAGAAATCATGCAGCTGGGCTCGGTGGCTCAGCCTGTAATCCCAGTGCTTTGCGAGGCTGAGGTGAGTGGATTGCCTGAACCCGTTGGTTCGAGACCCGCCT